CCGGCGAGCGCTCATCAAACAACATGCTGGCCATGGCGCAACGAGATCTGAAGATGGAGTCTACCCGACATCACCCAAACCTAAACCCTAAAAATGCCGTAAAGCCCTAAACCGTGAATGCTTACACGCTAAACGTAAATTCTGAACACCAAGCCGGCTTGCATTAGCGCTATAGGAATGTAGTATAGGGGTTTTAAAAATTAGAATCGGGTCGGGGGGGCCACTATACCATAATTACACTAAGGAACCCCAGATGATAATTGTTTAGGCCCCAAACCCTATTCTAATTATATAGTATAGTATACCCGAAGCCCTCTTCTAATTTTCAAAGCCCCTAGATTAACAAGCCTTTGGGGTTCGGGGTTGAGGCTCAGGCCATAGAGCTGTACTTTAGAGTCGGGCGTGTTGCGGTTGAGGGTTGACGGTTTATAAGGGCTTAGGGCTTACCCTAAGGCCCCAAAGTAGTTCCTTTTCGGGGTTCATATTTAGAATCCTATAAGGTAATCCCAAAAAGGAACTACTTTGGGGCCTATGGGTAGGGAGTTCAGGGTTTATAGGGAGTTTAGGGTTTAGAGGCTATAGGGAGTTTAAGGTTTAGGGTTTAGGCTTCCGAGCGCCGCGCTGCTTCTCGAGGCGATGGTCGTTCTCAAGGGCGGCGTGCTTGATGGTCGGGAAGGTGTACCTTGCAAGGGAAGTTGTGAGTCCGCGGCGCAAGCACGGTAATGAACAGGTTCATTTAAACATTTCTGTCGTGCAGTTCAGAGTCTAGTATAAAGCATTGGGGAAAACAACTGCTTCCACCTCTGGGTTTAGGGAGTTGTTGATAAAGATGGAAGGCAGAGCATGACTACTAGTCAAGTCGACTGTGACAGCGAAGACACGACAAAAACTAGCACATCTGAAAGAGGGCCCTCATGAATTTCAGAGATTCCCTCAGCCGCGGCTTCTACTTGGAGGTTCGGGGACTTAGCAAGTAATGTGCCAGTTCGAGCTAGGAGTGCCCTACGACTACAAGTAGCTTAGTCATCATGACCCCAGTAACTACATCCCATGATGATTCAAACTCTGGAACCTGATAGATCCCCGATAGAACTCTGTAATATGTCACCCTTCAAGGAACACTTAAAGTGACTAGATCCCAAGATCTTTCCACTAGTTTGATGATTTGGAGTTCTGGGAGTTGGGCCCGAGGTGGGCGAACGGAGAGCCCCGCACAGAGTTTGGGGTTAAGCGATACAGAACATGTGAATTGTGGGAATCCCACCTCCCTAACCTACATCGCTCAGGCCTCCTTCCTAAACTCTGGAAACCTCGAACCCTGTTTGCCAAAACCCTGAATGCACACACCCTAAACCCTAAACCCTGAATGTACCCAGGAAGATAGAAGCGCCTTCGACAATTCTAGCCGCCAGTCCCGCAACTCAGTCCCACACCACCATCAACAAACCGCCATTGATTCGTCGTTACACGAAGATTTAACCCCCCAAAACACGGAGTTTGCCCTAAGGATCGCCCTGAACTCACAACACCTTGAATCCCAAAGCCTGCGCCCAACTTGGAAGGGCAGGGGACTTAGTAAGTCGTTTATAAGTAGGGTTATAATTGGGGTAACTCCATTTAAGGTACTTATAACTCTACTTATAACCCACTTACTAAGTCCCCTGCCCTTCCAAGAAAGGATTTGAGTTCCCCGCTTGGACTCGTCCATCTTCAGGAGCAAGTGAAAATCGGGTCTCTCCTGCGGGAAACCCAGAGACTCCAAAACCCCTTAATGAAGGAATATACCTTAAATTATAGTAGGATCCCCAATATGATTTAAGGAATATTCCTTAATTAAGGGGTTTTGGGACCCAAGAGTAACCTAGGAATAAAAAAGGGTGCCCTTTTTGGTTTCAAGGGGCTTCTAAGGGAATTTGAACCCTACAAAAAGGGAATAAGGGCCTACTCTAGGTCCTAGAAGATTGAGGGTTAACGTTAACTACCGATTAAAAATACCTACCCTCAAAATATTTGTTCATAGGAAATCAGAAACTCTCCCAGGGTTTAGTGGATCGAGATTCTCGTTTAGGAAGTTAGGGTTCGTGGATGTTTGGGTGCCCGAATTTCGGGGTGAAACGGGTCTAGTGTCTTGGGATGTCTTGGGTCTTACGACGTAGAGTTTATCGGGGAAGGTCTAGGGAAGTTTAGGGATAACAAGGCTTAGGGTCTCGAGGCGCTGGAAGGCACTTTGCTGTTTAATTAGGGCTAGGGTTTGGAGCAGGGTTTAGTGTTCCGGGTTTAGGGTTAATCAACCACCCTCACGGGGCATATCAATCGTGGGGCTACATTACAGTAGCATGTTGGGCGGCAGGCTTGCAGGCTTGCAGGTGCTTAGTTACTTGTTTGCCGAAGACCAAGAGACGAGGTGGTTCGAGTTCAACCCTTTGATAAAACATCCTGTTCCGCAGAGTCCCTGAGCTTCAGAAACTCCTAGGCGTAAGCAGCCTCGTTGTGACTAGCAATTCGCTGAGATTGCGACTCGAACCAGCGAACATGATGAAATGCCGTGGATCAATGAGCACCGCAACAGTAGCATCATGTGGTAGTCCAAATTGGCTAACTACTTGCAGTAGTATTCTTGGCGACCCCTAAACCGTAGACCGCATCTAGACCCAAGAGTAGCCGAGGAATAAAAAGGGTGCCCTTTTTGGGTTAAAGGGGGTTAAAGAAGAACCTAAACCCTAAAAAAAGGGAATAAGGGCCTACTCTGGGTCCTAGCAATTCAGAACTTTGCCATGACGGTAGGAGATGTTGGAACTTCGTTTCCATTTCTAGTCACTACCCTAAGGCTCCATAGTAGTTCCTTTTTAGGGTTCATATTTAGAATCCGATAAGGTAACCCCAAAAAGGAACTACTTTGGAGCCTCTGGGTAGTTTCCTACACTGGAAGTATTATGTTAGAGTACAGTATAGCATAGCATGGTAGAGTAAAGTACAGTACAACATCGTCTGGCTGCGTATAGTAGAGCTAGCATGGGGCAATGAAGTGATACAGGCAAAACACCGACCCTAGCAAATAATCTGAAGTCTTGGCCAAGGTTTGAGATTCGTGGCTACGTCATCCCTTCCTACAAAAGTGAAACAGCAGCGTTGAAACTCGATTCCCGGGAGTTCCCCCCGCTCTAACATCCCGTAGCTCTACACCCGAACAGACCCGATATTCTGACTCCAAATCGATGGCTACAAAAACACCTCCTTTTCGTTCAGGATGCTTGGCTAGCCAGGCATCAGGGGTCCAAACAAAGTCCCTGCCAAGCCCACGTAGTCATATGTAATCCATGTAAACCATGCGAAATCCCATAAAGTAGAGGCCTTCATATTTGGAGTAGGGTCTCGGGGTATATATTGTACTGTACTTAAGATAGGGAAACCCCCAACACTCTATTCTAATTATTAAGGCCCCTGCATTACTTCTGAAACCCACAAATGCGCCCGACTTCTTTTGGATTGTAGCCCACTGGAAGCCGTTTGCTGTGAAAGCTCCAGCAGATACCTCAGTTGCAGGTATCCGTAAGCCCTAAACCTTAAACTAAACTCCTAAACCCTTAACTAACCCCTAAACCCCTAAACCCTAAACCTTACGTCCAAACCCCAAACAGCCTACCGGAACGCTAGGGCTCCCATGACCTACGGAAACGGTTACTGCGTTAAACTATATGGCTAGACCCAAGAATAGCCTACGAAATTAACAAGGTGCCCTTTTTGGCTCCAAAGTTTGTTATAAGGGAACCTAAACCCTTGAAAAAGGGAATAAGGGCCTACTCTGGGTCCTAGATGGTTAAGAAACCTACTCTTCAAATAATTGGAGTCCCCGGGGCTCCGGCTATTCACAACCAAATCTCAGAGTCTACTTGGAGGGGCCGGGGACTTAGTAAGTCGTTCATAAGTAGGGTTATAATTGAGGTATATCCGTTTAGGGTACTTATAGCTCTACTTATAACCTACTTACGAAGTCCCCTGCCCCTTCAAGTAGAGGCTTACTTAAAGGATCATGGGACTTAGTAATTGGGTTATATGTAAGGTAACTGCAGTTATAATGACTTATAGCCCCATCTCGGTTTAATACTTATAACCCTGCTTACTAAGTCCCATGGTTCTCCAAGTAGGGGTTCGGGCTCAAGGTTTGGGGATTAGTGTTCACGGTCTTGCGGAATGGCGGTTTAGGTTTGGGTGTGAGGGGGTTTAGGGGCGGAGAGTCTTGAAGTTTAGGGGTGTAGGGGAAAGGCTTAGGGGTTTCTGCCTTCGGGACTTAAACGGACTTAAACGGTTAATTCGCAGGGCTCAGTCCTTGGCCGACGGTTGCTCGGCCCAACCCGACGAACCATCGGAAACGGTTTTAGGGTGTAGGGTCCAGACCTTGCAATATCCCTCAACTAATTAAGGAATATATCTTAAGTCATATAAGAGATCCTACTGGATCCTACAAGAAATTTATGGTATGTTCCCTGATTAAGAGATATTGGAAGGTCTGCGGTTTCTTCGGGGCGCGTTGGTGTAGGACCTGGAGCGTGCGATTTCACCTGAGGTTTCACATGTAGGTTATGCATACCAGAGCAAAAACGGAAGCACCAAGGGCAACAGCAGGACAACATGACAAGCAATCACACAAGTATTAGCAACAACCGCAAGAAGAAAAATGCGGGACACTTGAAATAGTCGAAACAAGTCTTGGCAAGGTGGCACTGTGCGAAATGGCAGCCCAGGCGAAGAGTACATTAAGAAGCCGATGCAGAATCATGGCCAGAAGAACAGCAGCATTGACAGGAAGAGATAGCAAAAGATGATACTCCACTGAGGAATACTAAGCAAATGCTGATAGTCTATAGGCATTTCTCCCAAAGTAGTTCCTTTTTGGGGTTCATATATAGAATCCTATACAGTAATCCCAAAAAGGAACTACTTTGGGGCCTTAGGGTATAATGACAGCGAGGCACACAGCCTGCCGGAACTGTCGGCGTGACTCACAGGCGGCAGTCCCCACTTCCTTGGGGCTTGGGCGTTCGCAGGGCTATACTCAAAGGGGAAAAGGAGGGACCCTTAATGGGGACCCCTACCCTATAATGGGCTTTCTAATGGGTATATAATAGCTATATTAAGGGTATATGCCTAGGGGTCCTTCTTAAGGGTCCGTCCTTTTACCCTTGGATATACGGACTGTGGTCGATAGCAGCTCCATATTGGGCCGGGCCTTACCCATAGGCCCCAAAGTAGTTCCTTTTTGGGATTACCTGATAGGATTCTCAGTATGAACCCCAAAAAGGAATTACTTTGGGGCCTTAGGGTAGGTATGAGATCGCTTCGCTTTTGTGCCTGCCGGTCTACCTACCCATCTGGTAGTTGTCAAAATAGGGGTCCCGTTTTGGGTACCCTGAATATTAGGTGCCGTACTATATGAGCGACCCAAAAAGGGGCCCAAATTTGGACAACCACTCATCTATCTGTCTGTCTGCTTGTCTGTCCGCCTGTCTACCTGCCTAGCCATACAAGTACTGCACGCACTACGGGAATGTAGAGATCCATGGACAGCCATACAGATGCCGAGATAAGCAGAAAGGCAGCGAAAAACGGATAGAGGGAGAGAGAGAGAGGGAGAGCTAGCAAGAGAGCGAGAGCAAGCGGGGGAGGGGAGGGAGGAAGGGAGGGTGGGATAGAGACGGAGAGAAACAGTAAAAAAGCTAGCGTGAATTTTAAGGTGGCTTTTCGAAACGGATACCGACAGATCACTATTAATGTTCAGTTTCTAAACCGCCAAAAAGCCGATGGAAACCCTTCGCCGAAAAAACACGGCCAGTTCTCCCCCACCTGCATGCCTAGCATCCAAGCAAAGTGTACTCGGCTGTGTCTCCAAGCCGGAGCTCTCGATTCCGAAAATAGACCTGCGTCTCCAGGGGCCGATTTCAGCAGTCCACAACAGTATGTTAGGATTAGGGCTCTACAAGAAGCAATAAGGGAACTTAAAAATCACCCCAAATCGATACCTGGTGTGTCTCCTAGTTCTAAGCTTTAGGCAACGAATTCGGGTATGGGTTCAGGCGGTTTAGGCCTAGGGCTGAGATGTATTGTAGGATGTGATTTCGTTGAAATCGACAGCAACAGCATCTAAACACCGGATCCATGGCTTTCAAAAGCAAGATAGGGGTCCTCTTTTTCCGGGTCTGGATGTATTTAGGGCCTCAGGAGAGTTTACGCAGGGCTTTAGATTTCAATTTTCGAAACACTAGAACACTAAACCCTAAACCCCTAAATCCTAAACAGGTCAACACCTAAAACCCTAAACCCTAAACTCCTAAACCCAAAACCCCAAACTCCTTAAACCCTAAACCCCTAAACAGGTCAACCCCTAAAACCCTAAACCCTAAACCAGCCCTACAGTCTCTTGCATGGCGAGAGGCAGGCCCAACAGCGATGCCTGACATGTTCTCCAAATCCCAAAGGGTCCTAGTATCATTATGGTATATACTTTGACCCGCAAAATGCCGTATAAGTAAAGCCCATAATGATACTTGGACCCTTTGGGAATCAGGGTCTCTGATAGGATCCCTGCCGTGCTAATATTGGGGACCTCGGAAGAGACCCTAATTTGGAGGAAGTCGGTGCTGCGGAATCTGCATGCGTCCTTTCGTATCGAAATGCAGGGGATTCCGGTGCCCGGTCATGGGGGATTTGCAGCGTCAACTAGGTTGCTGAGTAGCACCTTTATGATAAAGCTACCCTTTTTCCCAATATTCAGTTTTAATAAGGGGACCCTAAAATAAAAAAGGGCAAAATTGGCACTACCCAGGAACCTAGTCAACGATAACCCCTCCACAGCGTGGATTGATACTGGAAAGGACCCTTCAAACACATCATGCTTCTGATGCCAATGCTGGGCCAATAGTCATATCAACAATCTTAGGCAACAGGAGGTGGAGCAATCGCGGCACTCATGGCACATTAAGGATACCAGTAAACCTAATTACCGTCATAATCACAATCATCGCTGCTGCCATGGACACCGCCAGCACAATGATCACATGGCATCATTCTCGTTATCGCCACCAGCACCACCACAAACGACACTGTTAGCACCAAGATGTCGACATCGTCGCCCTTCACATCCATACGAACATCCACACGCACCACCACCACCACCACCACCACCACCACCACGACCACCACCACCACCACCACCACCACCACCACCACCAAGAAAACTGTCACCATGCCGCCAGCCCACCGTCACTGCTAAGCCCCTAATGTCATCGGAACGAGGCGACCAACGCAGACCGAAGCCCCAACCTATAAAGCTACAGCCCCGTCGGAGGCCTGCCAGAAGGAGCCTGCGGCTAAAGTCGCCGCAGAGGCCGTTAGCGTAGTGCTCTCGACGGAAAGGCGCAGTTCCTGTGGCGAAGCCGATGATGTATGTTCCTCGTCTAACCCTAGAAACCCTAAACCGTTTCAGAAACCTTAAGCCTTAAACCACAAACCCTAAACCGTCTCAGAAACCTTAAAGGCCTTAAACCCTAAGCTCTAAACCGACTCAGAAACTTTAAAGCCCTTAAACCCTATAAACCCTAAACCGTTTCAGAAAAGAATAAACCCTAATTCAGCTTCTGGCTTGGGACTCCAAGCTCTGGACAGACACCGCAACGGAGCTTACAGTAGAAGCCTAAACAAGGATGTTTAGGGTTTAGGGTTTAGGGTTTAAACTCCTAGGATACCCAGTAACCTAGGAATAAAAAGGGCTCCCTTTTTGGTATTGGGTATTGGGTAACTTTATGGGGAACCTAGGACTACAAAAAGGGAATAAGGGCACTACTGGGCATCCTAGTAAAAGTTGGATACCCAATAACCTAAGTCCTTAAGAATGTATAGGGAATCCCAGCACAATTTGGCCTGAATCCGGTTTCCAACTTTATGGGGTTTACTGCAGAACTCCGGACCTCCTTTTGGCGACTTAGGGTCTTTGTTCGGCCCATGCTAGCCGCCGGCTACTTGAAGGATCATGGGACTTAGTAAGTCGGGTTATAAGTACCTTAATTGGGGTTATAAGTAATTATAACTGTAGTTGCCTTACTTATAACCCTATACTTACTAGGGCCCATGATCCTTTAAGTAGCAAACTCACAAGTCCAGCAAGTGGCGATATTGCAAAAGCCTGCATAATTACTACTTCCGATTTTAGGATATCTCTTGTACTTGTAGTGGAATATGACCCAGGAAAGCCCTCTTCAAACTATTAAGGCCCCTATAGCATAAGCCATCGGATGCTTGAATCTAAACCCTACCTTAAGCCGGAATAACCTACCTTTTTAAGGACTTATATAAGGAAATCATAATAAGGAACCCTAAAAAGGTAGGTTATTCAGGGTTAAGGTAGAGTTTAGGGTTTACGGCTTGGGGTTTCAGGGTTTAGGGTTAGGGTTATAGGGTTTGAGGTTTAGGGTTTAGGGTTTGGGGTTTCGGGTTCAGGATTTAGGATCCTCTCTTGCCGGCAGAGGGCTGAAAACTGCTCCAAAATCTTGAAGCCCTCCTGCCACCGCTCAGACTTCTCCTCAGTGCGGCGACGTGGCGGCTCACGACTGGGAGGCATTTACGAAGCTGCAGGTGTTTGTAAGGGTTCTACTATGCTGAGCACATTTTGAGTTGGGCTTACCACTAGGTAGCGCAGGTTTATTTGCAGCTGTGTTATGAAGGTTTTATAAGTTTTAAGGTTCTTCCGGTGGGGCCTTCTCTTTTTCCCGAATGCGCAGCAGAAAGGTTTCGTTTGAAGCTTGGGGGTCTGGGGGTTAGGAGTTGACGCGAAATGCGTGCGCAGCGCCCGCAAGCGTTCGCAAGCGTCCGCGTTGTGTCTGATTTCGCGCTGTACCCTTCAATTCCCTTAACCCAAGGGTCCAAGTACCCAATTGTCATATACTCTCCCAAATCCTAACCTACATAACTACTATCCTAAATCCGAGTACATAATTATTGGGTCCTTTGGACCCTTGGGGTAAGATCCAAACCGATGCCCTGCTCAAGCTGCGATTTGGTATCTTCCCTGAAACACGAAAACCAAGTTTTAGACCTCAGGCTTCATGAACTGTCCAAATTGTGGAGGCCGCTCTAGTGCTCCAGCTACTTAAATCATAGGTTCCATATTCCAACATGTAGCCCAGTAGCCCATTGTGGAGGTAACTGGAGCTTCCGGGAAGAATGAGGAAGGGAACTTAATCCTAAACTCTACTCCCTATTCGGGAGAAGCAAGCTGGCTTGGGAGTCGGTATAGATCTGTTGACTATACCTAATATTAGGTACCTTAAGAAAGGGTCGGGTATGAGCCTCTAGGTAGTCAGTAGTCTAGCGCAGTTTAGGGGTTTACGGCTAAGGGCTTCATGGACTGAAGCCTGAACCGTGCTTTAAGCTCTAAGGGTTTTGCTTCTTCTTTCTCAGAGACGTGGTGGCTTTGCTCAACCCCAAGGCGTCAAGATTCCCTTGTAGGAATCCGGTTTACGCTGGATTTTCTAGTCATGCACATGGTGCGTATGTTTTTTGGATATGGGTTTTTTGGCTTACAGTCGTAGGCTTCAGAGTTTGGGGTTTTGGGGTTTGCCTACTTGTCATTGGTTTGACTTTTGGGCGTGTGTCGGATAGTATTCCGTCGTCTAACCCTTAGTTTAAGATCCCAAGGTAAACCCTAAACCCGAAACCCTAAACCCTGAGCCCTGAACCCTAAACCCTAAACCCTGAGCCCTAAGCCCTAAACCCTAAGCCCTAAACCCTCATTGCCAAGCTTCGCAACAGGTCAGGACCGAGTTCATCGTCAGTGTGTCCGGCTTTAAAGTGACCTTCCGGGGTTGTAAACCCGAAACCCCTAAACCCTAAACTCCTAGGATACCCAGTAACCTAGGAATAAAAAGGGCGCCCTTTTTGGTATTGGGTCACTTTATAAGGAACCTAGGACTACAAAAAGGGAATAAGGGTACTACTGGGCATCCTAGCCCCTAATTTTCGGAAACCCTAAACCCTTTATAGAACCCTTATAGATCCCTTTAAGGAACCCTTATAGATCCTCCTAAACCCTAAACTCTTATACGTTCTGGGGGGGGCACTTTCAGGGCATGGAACTTTCGTTTTTGGTTTGTTTGATCGCTCACTTCCCGGGTTTAGGGTTTACTGTTTTCTTGTTAGGATTTGGGGTTTAAGGTATAGGGTTTAGGGGTTTGGGATTTGGGGTTTAAGGTATAAGGTTTAGGGGTTTGGGGTTTAGAGGGAACTGGTGCAGGGCTCTGCGGGCTACATTTCGGTGCCATGTGAGCTTGTCTGCATGTTGGTTTCTATAGCGGTCCCCGTGCTGCGATCCTAATCTCTAGACAACTTAACGGCCTACACCCTTAAAGCCCCTTCGGTGTCAAACAACACCCTAAACCCCTAAACCCTAAACCCCTAAACCCTAAACCCCTAAACCCCAAACCCCTAAACCCCAAACCCCAAACCCCTAAACCCCAAACCCCAAACCCCCAAACCCCTAAACCCCAAACCCCTAAACCCCAAACCCCTAAACCCCTAAACCCCAAACCCCTAAACCCTAAACCCCAAACCCCTTAACCCCTAAACCCTATACCCTAAACCCCAAACCCTAAACCCCTAAACCCTAAACCCTAAACCCCTAAACCCTAAACCCCAATAAACAAAAAAAACAGTACACCCTAAACCCATGATCTGGCAAACCTTTAAAGCCTAAACCTTACCAGGACCCCCCCCCCCCTCCCCCAGGTGCCCTTTAAAGGACTCTAATAGGGTTGATGATATAAATCCTGCATGACCCATAATAAAAAAATGTCCCATAATTCCCATAGTTTAGGGTCCTTAAGGTAATGCAGGATTTATATCATCAACCGTATCTCTCACTCAGAGGTAACTTGGGGCTAGAATAAAGGGTAGTTGCGGGGTCTAGGTAAACTCCAACCCTTAACCAAAAAAACCTTAAACTGGGATGCCCAGTAACCTAGGAATAAGAAATGGCTACCTTTTTGGTATTGGGTAGCTTTACAAGGAGCCTAGGACTACAAAAAGGGAATAAGGGTACTACTGGGCATCCTAGCCCCTAATTTTCGGAAACCCTAAACCCTTTATAGAACCCTTATAGATCCCTTTAAGGAACCCTTACAGATCCCTTTAAGGAACCCTTATAGATCCCTGTAAATTGTGGTGCAGGGAACCTCTCGGAGCTGGATTAGAGCTGCCAGTGGCACAATCCAGCACGACCTTCGGATGTCGGTAGTTTAGAGTTTGAGGGTCTAGACCCAAGAGTAGCCTAGGAATAAAAAGGGTGCCCTTTTAAGTTTAAAGGGGCTTATAAGGGAACCTGAACCCCTAAAAAGGGAATAAGGGCCTACTCTAGGTCCTAGGGGTAGAGTTTAGTGCTTGGGGTTTGGGGTTTATAGGGTGTCAGGACCAGGAAAATGCAAATTTGGGTGACAGGCTTTGCATGTTAAAAACGATACCCTCAGCCCTAAACCCTACCTATAGTTGTGTTTCTTGCTAGAGCACACCCGAGGATCCCTCGTGTTCAGAACCCCCTTCCATTTTCCTGGCTCGACCAAGCCTTAGAAACTCAAAACTAAACCTTAAACCCCACCGGGAACCCTAAACCTTAGACGCCTTAGCCTTAGACCTTTAAAGATCCTAAACCCTACAGCAGAAGCCTAAAAGTTGGAAACCCGATAGCCCCAATCCCTAAGAGCAAAGTGTAGGGAATCCCAGCACGATTTGTCCTTAATTAGGTTTCCAACTTAGTTTACCATACCCATGGGCCCCAAAGTAGTTCCTTTTTGGGATTACCTTATAGGATTCTATATACGAACCCCCAAAAGGAACTACTTTGGGGCCTTAGGGTGGAGATTCTATACTTGGAGGATCATGGGACTTAGTAAGTGTGGTTATAAGTACCCTAATTGGGGCTATAAGTAATTATAGCTGTAGTTACCTTACTTATAACCCCAACTACTAAGTCCCATGATCCTTTCTATAGCCCTGAGGAGCGCACCCTTCTTGGCACGCGCTCACCGCGGCGTTGAAGTGAGACACATCGGTCCCGGCAGGAACTCCACGCAGAGCCAGCCTAAGTCCCAGAGACTCCAATATCCCTTACTTAAGGAATACGACCTTAGATTTCTAGGCTGTTCAGTAACCCACTGGGAAAAAGTACATACTTTTTTCGGCTTCTTATTTTACAATAGGAGCCCAGAAACCCGAAAGTAAAAAAGTGTACCACTGAACAGCCTGGATTATAGTAGGATCAGTCATATGATTTAAGGATTATTCCTTAACTACTAGTTGCTTAAGAACCCCCCAAAAAATGAAAAATAATAATCCCTATATTATCCCTATAAGGAATATATTTTTTATTTTTTGGGGGTTCTTAAGCAAATAGTAGTTAATTAAGGGATCTTGGAGTCTCTGGGGTCTCTGAAATAGGAGCCTCAGAGTCCCCAACTGGGAGGGCCAGGGGACCGAGCTCATAAGTATCATCACCCCAATTCCGACCCGGTTTAGGGTTTAGGGTTTAGGGTTTTAGGGTTTAGGGTTTAGGGTTTTAGGGTTTAGGGTTTAGGGGTTTAGGGGTTTAGGGTTTTAGGGTGTTTAGGGTTTAGGGGTTTAGGGGTTTAGGGTTTAGGGTTTCCTTTTCGGGTACTTATTTCTCTACTTATTATCTACTTATATACTATAATTCCCCCGACCCTGCGAGCAGGGTGCCCCCCAGAGCTGCCTTTAAAGGGGTCTACATGTGCGTCCTGCGTCCCGCCCCGACCACCACAAAAGCCAACGTAGCAGCCTTGGCGCATCCTCTCCGCCGCGTAAACGGTTTTCAAAACGAAATCCAACCCAAAGGCACTGCGGTGGTCGAAATCGTTCATCCGGTTTGCCTTTCTCGTATCCGGCAGCTTCATTCAAGGCTGTTGGGGGGCACTTGGAAGGGCAGGGGACTTAGTAAGTAGGTTATAAGTAGGGTTATAACTAGGGTAACTCCATTTAGGGTACTTATAACTCTACTTATAACCTACTTACTAAGTCCCCTGCCCCTCCAAGCAGGGGAAAGGCGGAGGGGGTTCGCCCAACCCTGGCACATATAAAGGCTGTATATCGGGCCCGGGGGCCTTCATGATTTTAGGGTTTAGGGGTTTAGGGTTCCTTAAAGGGTCGCTTTAAAGGGATCTTCAGGGATTCTAGAAGGGTTTAGGGTTTAGGGGTTTAGGGTTTAGTATTTGGGGGGGTATTACACAGAGTTATACACTCAGGAATAATCTTGGCAGGCACTGAGGCCTCCATAGTGAAGTAGGTGGGTTTAGGATTTAGGCTTGTAGGGCTTTCAGGCTTCAGGGCTTTAGGGTTCATACAAAGGCAAAAAGACTTGGCTGACTTCTGAACCCTTCCCAAAAGTTAAACTTTTAGCCTCCTTACTATGGTTAATATAGAAACCCAAAAAGTTAAAGTCCTAAGAGCCAACCAGAAGAACGCCAAGAAGACCTAAACGCGAAAAATGCCCTTACGCACTGCCGGCGGGAAGCATCTTCACTGCAAGTGGCCACTGAGGACCAGAGTCACCTTGGTGAGTAGTATTATTTGGGGGACCCCTTAAAGGGTACCCCTTCTGAACCCTACTTCTGGCTCTCTTAAAAGGGGCCTTATTGAGAGGGTCTATATCCCCAAGGGTCCCCCTAATCCTAACTCCCACTTGGCTCTCAAACACTTCACGTTTGGGATTTCTTAAGGCGTAAGAGCCCGAAACGCTACCTACAGTCTCCATCGGAGTTCCTGTTTTTGTTATATAACTAATAGCTGGTCTTAGAATTTGGATCCTACCTGCCATCACTGGTTAAACTGCTAAACTAGAAAAGGAAGCGCAACGGAGACTATAGGCAAAGCCCCCCGTTCTGCGAGAGAGAGAGAGAGAGAAGCGAAGGCTAGCTCACAGAGGCTCCTTCCGATGGAGTATGCCGGAGATCCGACTTCCAACCCCGGTAATACAAAGCTTACCCTAAGGGTCCATGTACCCTAATAGTATATACTTTGGGCCCAATGTACCCATATGGGGAGTACTTTAAGGCCTATGTATATACTATTTGAGCACATGGACCCTGAGGGTTACAGAAACCTCAAGGCACCGCTGGAATCCAAGAACATGCAAAGGAATGTAATTACCTGGAGAATCCACTGTACCAGCTATACCGTCATTCCTCCGAAGAAGATAATTAAGCTCATCATGATCGGTTTACATCCCTTGTTGATGCACTGCGATCGCCAAACCCTGCGAACTCCGCCTCAAAACACAGGGTCGCCATCGCCCGTGAAATAAGCCCACTACCACCAAGCCAATCACTGCACCTGGAGCCCACCTGTCGTGCGAACCTGACAAAGCAGTAGGTACGGACCTTAATCATTATGGGGTAGAACGCAAAGGGCACAGTAGGTCATCGCCGCCGCATGTACAGAGCCTTCACCCGAGGTTCGAAAGATTCTCCCGATAGTCGCAGGGTGTTCGGGATGAGATACGTAAAGACCATATGTAACAAATGAGAAGCTGGAGCCAATGGCGACTAGACCCCTGGAAAGCGCTGCTATCAACATCCATGTGACATGCAGACATAGCAGCGCTGATTTCCATCCACTGCGGCTGGATCCCCACCTGCCGTTCTAAACCCTAAGCCCTAAACACCCAAACCCTTCTAGCCTAAACCCTAAACCCAGACCCAAACCCTAAACACCCCTAAACCCTAATCCTAAACCCTAGGCTGTCTTCAGTTGCACAGAGAGGGCTTTCCGAACTGAGGGATTCTCGAGTAAGGCTCCAGGTATCCATCTGAGTATGGTATGGGGGTTTCCGAAATGCTGGATGAACAGGCCTGTACCAACTAATGTTCCAAGTCGGCGGAAACTCACACCACCCTAAACCCGAAACCTTAAACCCTAAACGGGCCCTAAGGCACCTAAAGATTTTAAGGTTCCTTATACTCGTTTCCGTTGATAAGTCCTTTTCATGGATTCAAGTTATTTGGGGTGCCGGCAAGCCCTAAGCCCCAAACCGATGAAGCCTGAACACAAGAGTCTCCAAACCTAAACCCCAAGCCCTCACGGCACCTTTAAAAGGAAAACTTGCAACAGACCTGAGAAGCTATCCCGACGCGAGTCAAGACAACACTTCAGACACAAAGTACAACCTAGCGATCGAAAACCCTGCCCCAGTTTGAAAACCGCAATAACTACATGGCAAGCCTTATGGACCCTTCAAATCCCCTAAACCCCAAACCCTGAATAAACCCCCTTGCAAGGCCTCACGAGTCTGGCAGAAAAGCCGTAGTGCCGATCCCCATTTCGCACCCGTTGCGAAGGCGCTGACCCTTGAAACTTCAAGGCGGCTCATAGGGATTTTGAGGGTTTCCCCAGAGGCCCCAAAGTAGTTCCTTTTTGGGGTTCAAACTGAATACTATAAGGTACTCCCAAAAAGGAACTACTTTGGGGCCTATGGGTAGGGCTCACAGTGCCTGTACTTAAAGGATCATGGGACTTAGTAATCGGGGTTATAAGTAAGGTAACTACACTTACAGTTACTTATAACCACAATTAAGGTACTTATAACCCTACTTGCTAAGCCCCATGATCCTCCAAGTAGGGTCTTGAGCTCTGTGTTGGGCAGGTTACGGGTTTCGAGGCTTCTGGGTGCCGGGCAGACTGTTGATGATATAAATCCTGCATTACCTTAAGGATCCTAAACTATGGGAATTACGGCATAGTCCTTATTATGGGTAGTGCAGGATTTATATCATCAACCGTAGTTTAGGTCCGATTTTCAGAGGGTAAGTGTTTGTGGCTTACCTTAAGCCACCATCAGGTTGTTCTTGTAATGTTCTTGTAAGATGGACTTTACCGGGACCTTCTACAAAAAAAGTGTCTTGGGTTTGGTAGGTAGTTTAAGGTAAGGTCTCAAACTCCCAGGGGCAATTGTAGTTGTTTGGTTTGACCCACTGTGTGTTTAGGATCCTATACTTCCTGAGAAAGTACCCAAGGAACCCCAAACCCTAAACCCTGAACCCTAAACCCCAAACCCTAAACCCTCTGTGGAAAGAGATGTAAGATGTGGGAGCCACCCCGGGGTGCCTGGGCGTCAGAGTTTGGGGATTTAGGGTTTCAGTCCTTCGTCGAAGAGTCAAGTTCTCTTAGGGTTTAGGGTTTAGGGTTAAGGGTTAAGGGTTCAGGGTTTAAGGTTTAGGGTTTAGGGTTTAGGGTTGAGTTTCGGAATTTGGGGTTTCAGTCCTTCGTCGAAGAGTCGGCTTAAATATTTAGAATATGTATAGCCTTGAACTTATAGCCCTACTTACTAAGTCCCACGATCCTCCAAGTATACAAAGCCTGGAGTCGGCGACACTTGCTGAAGGACAGCTGACAACTTCGTGTTCGGGCTTAGGGTTTACGGGGGTTTAGGGTTTAAGGGGGTTTAGGGTTTACTTTAGAAGCCGAAATGATTACCAATACTAGTTTTGGGGGCTCGTTGCTTTTTTTCCCGTCTAATGGGCTCCAAAACCCTTGTCTAGTTATTAGGGCCCCTATAGTAGGGTGCTTATCGGGTTAGGGATCAGGGATTACGAAATAGGTTTGGGGTTCCCGTTCTACCCAGACCCCCGGGAGGATCCAAAAAGTAGATCCCTTAATGGGGGTTCCTGTAAAGTACCCTTAATCTGCGAGCACCCCCAAAAGACACCCAATGTCATGAATGTACTTGGAGGGGGAGGGGACTTAGTAAGTAGGTTATAAGTCGAGTTATAAGTAACCTTTGAAATTCATGAGACAGGGTGCTCCACGGATCGCGCGTTGCTCCCCATGTTTGCTAGCCCAAGGCCGGATACCAGCCTCGAAGCCGCGGGAGTTTGGGGTTTACGGGTTCAGGGCTCTATAGGGTTTTTAAGGCTTAAGGATAGAGTTTAAGGGTTGAGGTGTAAGGGTCTGGGGTTTACTTGAAGGATCATGGGACTTAGTAAGTAAGGTTATAAGTACCTTAATTGGGGTTCTAAGTATAGTTTCCCTAGTTATAACCCTAGTTACTAATTTCCATGATCTTTTAAGTAGGGGTTCGGAACTCCGGGGTTAAAGGTGTAGGGATTGGGGTTTACCTTTTGTCTCCGTTGTAGTTCCTCTGCGGGCTCCCTTGCCATTTAAAGCAGGTTTAACAAACCATGGAACTACAAGGGAGACTGTAGGTAGGGCTCTAGGGTTTAAGGATTGAGACTCGGGTTCTAGTGTACGGGTTTTGGGGTTTACCTTAACCCTGAATAACCTATCATTTTAGGGCTCCTTATTAAGATTTCCTTATACAAATCCTTAAAAAGGTAGGTTATTCGGGGTTCAGGTAGGACTTAGGGTTGGTAATGAAGATCCTGAGAATGATGATCATGAACTGAATCTAAGTTCCTCAGTAGGTCCCTAACATTAAAGGTACCCTTCCCCTGCTATTTGGATCTGAAATGGGAACCCAAAAGGAAAAGGGCAAAAGGATACTACTGACTGGGGAACCTTTTGAGTGGCTGTGGCGATTCTGATGGCCTTCAAGTTGACGAAGATGACCATCACGGCGACAACAACAACAACGACAACAACAACAACAACAACAACAATAAGCATCACAACCATCACCACTGCCGCCGCCGCTACCACCACCAGCATACACATCCGAAGCTGCTCACTCATGCCACTCTGACCCACCCCAGATTGCCAAACCCTAAGCCTCCTATTATGGGTATTAAGGCCCTCTACCTACATTAAATGTAGCCCGAAACCTCCATAACGAGCCCCACCCGAACTCGAACCCTAAACCCCCCCCCCCCTGCCCCTGGAAGCTTTAGAGACCATCGACCTAAAACTCCAAAACCCTGGGACTCCAAAACCTCAAACCCCCAAAAAGGCCGAAGCGCAAACCCCCCAAACCCTGAACTTACCTTTGGGTAGTAGGGAATGGAAGAATGGTAGTAATAGTAGTTATAATGGTACCCCATTCCTCCATTCCCTAGTAACCAAAGGTAAGTGAACCCTAAACCCCGTAACTCCCAAAACCTGAAAACCCCAAGAAAGCCCAAGCTCAGGTGACTCTCCGAGATGCGAGGTGGAACGCTCCCAATAAGCACCAGAATCTCGGAGGCTCCTGGCTTCATGGTCTCAGGCTAGGGAGTTGGGGGTGGGGGGTTTGCCTGGGCTTAGGGTTTACCTTAACCCTGAAGAACCTACCTTTTCAGGGTTCCCTATTATGATTTCCTTATATAAGTCCTTAAAAAGGTAGGTTCTTCAGGATTAAGGTAGGGTTTAGGGTAGGAAAAAATAGGAAAATGTTCCTCGAATACATAGGGGCCGTAATCAGTTGACAATTGAAATTTGAAGTGTGGACTGGGGTATGCGGAGCTACGAAGGAAAATCAGCACTTCCTGGAAGACTTGCTCAGACTGGAAAATAATCTTTAGTTTGCCGTACATCTGAGAGCCCAGGACTCCAAAAAGCCTTTGATCTTTCGGGTTGAGGGCCAGTTTAGTAAATTATGCATCTGACTCGAAGGTTGCAGCTCCTCAGTGCGGAGACGAGACAGGCGCGACTGAGCTGCAGCTGGGCACGGTACCTGGGAGGAAGGTTTGCCCTACTTGTCGGGTATCATGGGGAACTAAAGCGTAACCTTTTTGGTTATATAGGGATTATATAGGGACTATACTACCCCGAAAAGGTTAAAGGTTACCTACTCTACTACTAGGTTGGGATTTAGTGAGCCTTTAGGGAGCAGAGGCTTGTAACCGTGCGCATCTTTGGTGAGGGCCTTCTTCTGCATGTAATGGTCTTGGGGGCCCTGGCAACACAGTGGCCTGAACTATTTGAGGGGACTTCGGCTTCCGATGACAAATTAGAGACGTATGTGGGCTGTAAGGAATCCCAGAGACTCCAATAGCCCTTAATTAAGGAATATTCCTTAAATTATAGTAGGATCCCTACTATGATTTAAGGAATATTCCTTCATTAAGGGATATTGGAGTCTCTGGGATGCTGTTACCATTAATAACGACCTATCTTGCATGCTCGGCGCCAAGTGGCCAGTGCTGGTCTTGACAAATTTGCGGGCGAGGGGGAATGCAGCGCCCCATAATAGTATTGGCACGCTTCTGCCTGCTGTTTGGGTGCCCTTCCACCTATGTCCGAAACCCACGACCCTATAACCTAGATCCACAGGAATAAACTCAGCATTCATCAGGCTATTACTTTGGAACTAAACATGAACATTTGGGACTATATAGGGATTGTAGTATCCCAAAACGGTTAAAGGTGACCTGCAGATCTGAGGTCTCAACCCTAACCCAAAATCTTGAATGAACATGTTCAGCCCTGGCCAGAAGCCGTACCTTCACCCCCGGCCCCAACTACCCTTCATACTGGCCCCTATCTACTACCTCTTACATCCTCTTACCAGCCAACGACCCTAAACCCTAACCCTAAACCCCTAACCCAAAAAACCCCCAAACCCTCAACCCCTAAAACCCTAGACCCTAACCCTAAACCCTGAACCCCTAACCCTAAACCCTGAACCCCTAAAACCCTAAACCCTAAAGGGTAGTCGGGAGAGACCCGACAGGCCCAGGCACATAGGTGGCAAGAGCGCGAGGACCTGATACGGCTCTCTCTCCCTGCCCAGAGACTCCAATAGCCCTTAATTAAGGAATATTCCTTAAATTATAGTAGGATCCCTACTATGATTTAAGGAATATTCCTTCATTAAGGGATATTGGAGTCTCTGGGTGCAGGATTCTACGTACCAGCGAGTCCGGGGGTCTAATCGAAAGCCGGGCCCTCATGGGGGTATGTCGTGTCTTAAATCTAAGGAATAGTGTTTCAGACCTTTTCAGCCAAGTGCCCACATTATATGAGATCTTTGAATTACATAGTTTGAGCCTAAAAAAAGTTTTGGGGATTTTGTGACTTTAATTTGTGGCCTATAAAAACAAACTCTCGGGTTCTTTGGCTCTTGGAGTATGGATGGGCATAGTATAGATATATTCGGGAAATGCCTGCGGCTCTATCAGGCTTCTCAGGGTTGAGGGCTTAAAGAGCTCGAGGCTTGGGAAGCAGAGTCAAGGTGCTACGGAAACCCCCAAACCAGCCAGTTTAACATGATTCAGTGCGAGACTGGGCTTTTAGGTAACCAGGGAGAAAAAAGTATAAACTTTTATTTCATAAGGGTTCCTTTAAGAAAAAAGTATTAAAGTATGGTACTCCAAAGCCCAAGAGACGATTCGTCAGAATCCCAAGCTTCAGGAACATGCGTAATTCAAGGATTCTTGGGCTCACGGGGAAGGGACAGACATCTTTGTGCCAGTTTTATGGTCAGAGTTCTATAATCTGACATGGATGTTGAATTAAAACAGGAATCACAATGGAGACTATAAGTTAACCCAGAGGGTCCATGTACACTACCATTATGGAATTAGGGATGGTCTTTTAGGACCTAATTCCATAAAGGTAGTGTATTTGGACCCTCTGGGTAAGTGAGCTCCAAGTCTGCACACAACCATCACAGACACCCAACTAGAGGCTTTGGTGCACGTAAATATGGAATACATCTGCTACGGAGTGGGCTCCTTTACTGTCTAATAAGAGTAGGAACCCTACGGAATAGTGTTGGCCATTATTTCGGCTTGATATTACTCTGGGTTTTACCAGTAAGAGATTGTTAGAAGGATCTGCGGCTTGGGTATAGGGTGTGGGGTTTACATGGCGGCTTGGAGTCTTTCGAGTGTAGCGCGGTTTTTCGGTGCTTCAAACGCACCGGCTAGGGTTTATGGCTTGAGGGTTTAAGTGGTTTACCCATAGGCCCCAAAGGAGTTCCTTTTTGGGATTGCCTAATAGGATTGTAAATATGAACTCCAAAAAGGAACTACTTTAGGGCCTTAGGGTAGGGTGTAGTCTTCAAAGCTTGAAGTCCCAGGCCCCTGGACCTTCACAAGGCTATGTCTGGATGAAACGCCAGGACCCTGAACAGCAAACCCCAAGCCATGAACCCTTGACCCTCTACAACCTGCACCCGAAACTCTCCAACCCCACCCCGAACAGAAAGCTCAATCCCAAAGTCTCTTTTGAGCTCCTGATGCCTGAAGACTGGGTTATTGGCTACTGGCATACACATCATATGGTTAAGTGGCCTGCGAAAAAAGTAACTTCAGCCCCATGGTCTCCGAATCTTGAAAGCACCAATTTCCCCCACCTGCTGCCATCTCCCTGCCCGATCAAAGTTGCCAGTGATCGCGTTGTACACCTCGACAGGTGGGCTCCAGAAAGGAGGAGAGGACAGGGCTTTTGGGTATAGGGTATGGTGTGCGGCTACAGGAGACCCTATCGGGCCGTATCAAACCGCCATACTGGCAGCTGCACTACTTGGAGGATCATGGGACTTAGTAAATAGGGTTATGAGTACCCTAATTGGGGTTAAAAGTATAATTATTACAGCTACCTTACTTATAACCCTAATTACTAAGTCCCATGATCCTTCAAGTAGACCCTAACCCCTAAACCCTTATAGTACTCCTACAGATTCCCTGAAAGGGACTCCGTAAGGACCCCAATTACTATAGTACCCCTATAGATTCCCTGAAAGGGACTCCGTAAGGACCCCAATTACTAAGTCCCATGATCCTTTGAGTAGTGTTTTGAGACCGAAAAGCCGAAAGTTCAAGACTGGCTGAACTGAACCCTAAACCCTATCACAGTTACCTTACCTTAAAGGGATCTATAGGGCTCCTTCAAGGGATCTATGGGGGTTCAGGGTCTACTTGGAGGGGCAGGGGACTTAGTAAGTAGGTTTTAAGTAGGGGTAGAAATGGGGTACCCCCATTCAGGGTACTTATAACTCTACTTATAGCCTACTTACTAAGTCCCCTGCCCCTCCAAGTATGACGCTAAACCCTCAACCTATCGCTCTCTAAGCAGCATAGGTGTAGGAATTCTGAAAGCGTAGAGCTGGAAAACTTTAGGTGTTGAGGTGCAGTATTGGGGTGTCAGGCTCGAACAAACACTGGGTTTGGAAACTTGGAACTCATGAGAAACTTTCTTGACGTTCTTAGGTGAGGGGAGTTCTTGGAATGATGATGCAATATCCCTAATCTGTCCAGGTACCGCACCTATATGAAGAATGGCACTAAAGGGGTCTCTAGATAGTAGGTATGTTGCCTCCGTGCATGGGTGAAGTGTGTGTGACAAACCACGGGTACATCTGCACATAGATCTTGAACGTACTGCAGATGAAGCATTGAAGCATGCTGGCCCAAAAAAGCTAAGCCCTATACGCCCTACATGCTACATGCAAAAGCTTAACACCTAAAGTGTTTACATTCTTCACCAGACCGTAACATCCAACCTTTTCTAGGATACCCAGTAACCTAAGAATAAAAAGGCCTCTCTTTGTGGTATTGGGTAACTTTACAAGGAACCTAGGACTACAAATAAGGGTACTACTGGGCATCCTAGGTAACATCCAACCTTTTCTGACCACCCTAAGCCCTGAGATCTGGTCGGCCCATTCTAAACTTATAGTAGAAGCCAGAAAGTTGGAACATCGTTTTAGGAGGATTAGTGCTAGGATCCCTTATACTTTACCTTAAGGGTATGAGGAAAATTATGTTCCAACTTTCTGGCTTCTACTATAGTTCCCCCTGTAGCCCCCTTAATAATGAGGGTACCCTTTTTTCTCTACTAGTCGGTTTTGATAGGGGAACCCTCCCAAAAAATACAAAAGGGTACTACTGGGGAACCGAGTAAACGATAAGGCGTAAACCCCAATCCCTGCATCCTAAATCCTGAACGCAGACGGTGCAAAACATAAACCCGAATTCATACCCTGAGGCTCAAAATGGCCCAAAAGCCTTATATAATATGGTCTTTAGGCCCAAAAGCCTTGAAATATGAGTCCTTAGAGCCTTAGGGATACAGCAACCCGAACTGATACAAACTCCAGTAGCAACCCCCACTCTTGCAGACTCCAATAGTAGCCATGAAGAGGGGCCTTTCCTTGCTTGACCCCAAACCCCAAAAACCTAAACCCCAACCAAAACCCTACTTAAAGGATCATGGGACTTAGTAATTGGGGTTATAAGCAAATAAGTACAGTTATACTTACTTCTAACCCCAATTAAGGTTCCTATGACCCTATACTTACTAAGTCCCATGATCCTTTCAGTACCTCTTTGGGTCGCGCTGTTGTGCCTCTTGACACTCCGTGGAGCGTCTTCTCGATGCCCCCAGCAGCTCAATGGAGATCTGCCATCGTGGTAGCGCCTTGAGAGTTACTTTTAAGCTTGGTACACTTCTCGATTTGTGCGGTTTAGGGTTAGGGTTTAGGGCTTAGGTTCGACAGACGCTCCAATACCCTGTATGTATGTATATATATATATATATATGGGCGCTGTCTGCAGGATCCCTGCTACGACTATGCTAGAAGGACTAACGTAAGGCCTGAAGATGTAGATTGAAACAGTATTCCCGATTGTCCCTAGTGTTGCTACTTGAAGGCTCATGGGACTTAGTAAGTAAGGTTATAAGTAGGTTATAATTAGGATAACCCCACTTAGGGGACTTATAACCCCAATTATAACCTATTTACTAAGTCCCATGATCCTTTAAGCCACCGCCTCCAAAGTCCCTTTCCATCGAATGGCCGCGAGGGCGCACTCAGGGTCGCTACATCCGTGAAGTCATCGGCCTTGCAGTGTGGTGTGAGATGAACTCAAGGTGGCGGCTTAGGGGATCAGGTTGAGGTCGGCTTAGGGCATTAGGGTTTAGGGTTTAGGGTTTAGGGAATTGAACCCTCAACTCACGCCCTAAACCCTGAACCCTACTTCCCAACAGTGTGACAACTTTATTCCTGAGGCTGCAATATCAGGGAAGGTTCTGGTACACGTAAGCTAGGCTCCAGCCCCTCCGTAGTTGTTAGGTACGCGTTTTCCTACTGTTTGGTTTTAACAATAAAAATGAAAAATGAAAAAAGGGCAAATGGGTACTGGAAACCCAGTAAGGAGTCCGGAATCCCACCCGAAAAACCCTACAATTACAAATTCAGTCCCTGAACCCCAAGCTTTATGAAACCCCTACTTGGAGGAGCAGGGGACTTAGTAAGTAGGCTACAGGTAGAGTGATAAAGTACCCTAAATGGAGTTACCCCAATAATAACCCTACTTATAACCTACTTACTAAGTCCCCTGCCCCTCCAAGTATATGATTAGATGAGGCGCACGTAGTCAGCCTTTTAGGGGTTTAGGGTCCCTTAACGGGGTTTCAGGGTGCAGGGTTTCGAGTTCCTTTAAGGATTTGGGACAGTAGCCAGCCATTTATGTAAATGTTTCCTTGAAAGGGTAATTACGCCCTAACCAGACCCCTAGAAGAGAGCCGACTTAACCGTAAGAGAGACCCTAAACCCAAAACCGTACTCTTGCCTGCAGACCGCTCGCTTTGAGCCGGCCGACCAGCGCCAATGCAACCTCGCACAATCCTAGGAAGCGTAATGTGGTTTAGGATAACACCTAATGTAGGGGCCTTAAGAATTAGAATAGGGCTCCTTTAAAGGGATCTATATAAGGCCGACTTTAAGGGATCGTTCAGGGTACTATAGTATTATAGGGGCCTTGATAGTTAGAATATGGTTTTGGCGTCCATTCTACTATAACTATAATAAGGAAGCCCCACCATAACATTGGTAATTATTCAGGCCCCTATCGTAATGTGGCTTAGGATAATACATAACCTATGGTAATGTCGTTTACCGATTAAGATACCCCCCCAGATTAGACGGGGCGGTCCCGGGCATTTCATGGGCTTAATGAAGAGGTCCATTAGACCCCACCCCTATAGTACCGGAGCTCATTTAAACCCCCCCCGATTAGACGGGGCCATCCCCGAAAATCCCCGAAATAAGGATTTAGGGGATTTAGAGGCTTATGACTTAACCCTAACCCCCAAACCCTGAAGCCTAAACCGTAAAGAACTCATGATGGCAGACTTTTCCTCATTGGACCAGCTCATGTCCAGCAGAGCTAAGCTTGTACTTAGGGGCAATGTTCCTGCCCAATCTGCGGGCTTCCCTCCTCATCCAGTATGCGAGGAGCTTACCCTCATCGCAGCTCAGGCAGCCTGAGGCATGCCGGCAGCGGCTGCAGACTCCAATCTCATGGAGTTCGATTCGATTTCTCTCATCCCAGTATGCCTGGGGCATGTCCTCGATCTCAAGGACTTTGCCTTGGCTAATGACCTCATGGGCCATCTTCTGAAGCGCAGTCAGCTCAAGGCCTTTGCTCATGCGTTTCTCAGCCATGGCCGCCATGTGCTCTCGCTCTTTTCTCATCCTGGGAAGCCCAGGAAGAAAAGGGTCCCTGTATGTCTAAGACTAATTACAAAAGGGAAAATGGGCCTAAATACTAAAGGTCCGAGTATCTTGATTCCCAAGGCCTCCTCCTTCTTCTTATGCTGTTTCAGCTCATCCAGTCGCTTGGTCTGCTCAGTGCGGAGAGCATTTGTGACCTTATGCAGCCGCTCATGCCACTTCTTCGCCGAATGCGAAGGCCACCCAGTGCTGGCCTTTCCAAACCCCATGGCCTTTGCGGCCTCTTGCTCCATGGCAGCCAGAACATGGAATCCGCACTCATCGACTCCCTGGAAGACCTTGTTCCTGCGAGGAGGCAGCACCGCCTCATGCACCAGGCCCATGGAGAGCAGGGATGCCAAGATTTTCTCAGCGTAGTCCCTGCATCGCTGGGACTCATCCGGCAGGGAGTCATAGTACCTCAGGGCTGGCTCTGCGTGCGAATGCGAAATAAGGAGTCCCCATGCACAACTCTACCTTATAATAGGGAAAAGGAGGAAAAAGCATGGTGTGCCTCACTTTGGGAGTCTCAGACTCATGTGTCGCATCTATGACGAGCAAAACCCAGTGCCCAGCAGACCCCAGGGGGAGGAAGTTCAGTGTATGAGCACTCATCTGCTTTTTGATGCACTCAATGAATGCATCCACATCCACTTTGGCATTGTCATGATGCAGATATAGTGGCTGTGTCCATCCAGGACTAATGAAGCCCATGCTCTTGCAGGGCATTGAGCTCTGGAGCATGTGCCAAAGCAGGACTCGCCAGCCCAAATGCAGCTGTTGCAGCTCTATGCCGCCGGCCTCAATGGCTGGGTATGGGAGGATGTGAACCTGCTCAAGCCCATCCAGCTGATCCAGGTCCTGGCTCAAGAGCCCCATGTCAAGCAGCATTTCCTGCTTCCAGGCCCGGTAGAAGGACATCTGGGCCCACTTCCACACCTTATGCTCACCCTCTGGCAATCGCTCACAATGGCTCTTGCTGACCCATGCCTTCTGCTGCTTGGGGAAGAAATGGTCCTTCTCCAGCAGCATGTGGCAGTTCTGACGGCCGACACCCAGAATGGACCCATGCCGCCCATACAGCGAAATGCCAGCGTCCTGCGGCTAGGGAGAGCTTATGATGGGCTTTGCTCAACCAGCTAATTTTCTCTCGAACCCACAGGCCTCATTGACTATCCTCCATGTGCCCTTGGTCATGTCATGCTCACCAGTGTCAGCACTCATAGCTGGTGGGCCGGGTGGCGGAGGCAATGGCGGCTCAGGGAGCTCATCCACCGCTTTGCTCAATGCGTTTTTCTTGAGCTGCTTCTTATGCTGCTTTTTGGCCATCTTGCCCATCTTGGGCAAGCTCATGCCCTTGGCCTTGGCTTCGGCCTTGGCCTGGGCCTTCGCCTTGGCCTTCGCCTTGCCTTTCTTCGAGGCCGATGCTGGCAGATCCCTCATGGCGGCATACCTTGGCTGGTGGCATGACAGGAGGAGAGTCTCATGGGGGTTTAGGGCAAGTAGGAAGGGCGAGGAGCCTGGAGGTTTCCTGCATGCTTGCTCTCAGCTCCTCCCGGGCCTCATCCGTGAGCTGATGCTCCTGTTGCTTCTTCTGCCGCCTGGTCTTATTCTTCTCTCTTCTCCTCTCCCTCTTTGCCTTGGCTTGATCGCTCATGGTCGCCTCTCTTGCCAGCATGGCCCTTCTCAGGTCTAATGGCATCTGGAACTTGGCGCATGCCTGCCATTCAGGCTCGGAATGCTCATCAAATGGGATGTCCTCCCAGCTTGGGGCATCCTTGAACCCATCGTTGTAGTGCCAATGGGCCAGGTCACTCAACTCAGTGGCTCCCTCAATGCGAGCCCAATTGGGTTTCTCAATGTCTCCATTGTTCTCATGCTGATACCGATTGGCGACCCATGTCGGATGGATCCTCTTGCAGCCCAATGGCTTGTCCTTGGCCCATGCCTCGTGATCGCACTTCCTCATCTTGCCATGCTCATCAGGTCTCAGGGCCAAGAACCCATTGCGGCGGAGCCCAGCCAGGACCCATTCCGTCTTCTCATTCATCTGGATCATGTGCTCCATGGCAGCGTCGATGGCCAATGCCATCTCCTTGATGCCCATCTTCGGGAACTGCTGCTCATGGTGCCCATCCTCCTCATTCCGGCGAGCCGCCTGCCTCATGCTCTGCTCATCGATGGCTCTTCTCACTGATGCCTTAAAGGCATGTGAAAAATCTGTATCAGTGAGCTGTAATGCTGATGTCATCTTCGGCATGATGCTCGACTGAACCTGATGCCCCATGAAGAGGGTCTTGACCGTATCTGATGTGAATGCAGGCCCATACGCATCCCTCATCCACACACTCAATGGGAACTGCCTAGCCTGATCCTTTATGACCCATGGCAAGCAAATCCCATCGCTGTTGGATGCAGGCTGGCTCATGACGGAGAAATGCCGGAATGCTTGTGGCATCTCATCTCGCAGCTTTCGCCAGCTGATGAGAGCTCGGCCGCAGCTCTCACCTCTGATGTGGCGTCTCTCTTGACCCATGTAGAAGAATGTCTCATCCTCTTTCCATTTCCCATGCTCGTCAATGTTATCCAACCGTGCATGCTGGCCGGGAACTATCAGAATGCCTCTCATGCAGTGGCCTTCGGGGGTCTTCTCATGGTCGAAGAAGCCACTCACGAGCTGCATGGCCTCAAATGTGACCCTGTACCTATCGGCCTTCTCTTGCCGACGGGTGGTCAAATGGGCCATCTCATGCTTCTCATCTGGCATGGCGAGCTTCCACTCATCACCTGGTTCCTCCTGCTCATGTGGCTGCTTCTCATGATGCTCCTCAGCTTTCGACTCCTCATGAGGCTCCTCAGCTTTCGACTCCTCATGAGGCTCCTCAGCTGCCGGGTGTGTCTCATCTGCGGTCTGCTGCGGCTCATGCAGGTGCGGATGCTGCTTCTTCTTCTTGAGGCCTGCTACTTCCCATGAAGCCATGATTTCTTTCTTGGACCCAGACTTCAGCCAGAGTGGCACCTGATCGGAGAAGCCCAGAACACATGCCTTTCTAATGGCTGGGGTGATCTCATTGGGCCTGGCAAAGTACTGTCTCATGAAGTCCTCATCTGCTGATGCCACCTTGTGAATGCACCAGTCATGGTGTTGCCACGAGAGCTCAGCCCTCACCTGCTGCTCCACGGAACTGATCTGGGTCACGAGGTTTGGAACCCTCGTCTCAGCCCCAAGCCATGTGGCCAATGTCTTTGCCCTTTTGTTCATCAGCTTCTCGCTCCCATGCATGGCCTCAATCTGCTTCTCTGCAAGCTTTAGCTTCACCTCATGCTGCTGCCGCTCCTCTGTGCTCATGTCCTTACTCTTCTCAGACTCAAGCAGCTCCGTAAGCTCAACCATGTGTTCCTGAAGGAGCAGCTCATACTGCCATGCCAGGTGCCGCTGCAGCACCTGATGACCATGGGCTCGTTCTTTGTCAAGCCAATGGCCAAGTTTCTGGACGACCTCAGGGAATTGTCGCTTGGCACCAGCACCTTCTGCTCTCATCCTTGGCCTCTGCTTGGAATGCTCCCCACCGATCATGTTGCCATGGTCCTTCTTTTCGAGCTGAGCCCATGTGCTCCTGTTGGCCCAGATGTCCTGCAGCTTGTCCAACCTCATCTTGCTCTTCTTTGCAAAGGCCTTGAGCATGTCTTGCTCAGCGGGATGGTGCCCACGGGTCTCATAGATTTGCTGGCAGATGCGGTTCTTCATGGACACAGGCAACTCAAACTGCCGAGGTTTCTCATTGGCCTTTCTCCGGTTGGACTTCTGGCCACCCATGATCCCTCTCCTTTCGCTGACCGGCTTCATGGGCCGACCTCCGAACCTCCCAAACTTCTTGCCCACCTCCTGCTGCAGCTTTGGGATGACATCCTCATGGGCTGTCAGGGTCAGCTTCTTCCCATCAAGCGACAGCTGCCCACTCTTCAACATCTCACGAAGAGTGTCTTCCATGCGATGTCTTGGCCTCTTGGGCGGCGGACTGGGCGTCTCATGGATGCTGCTGTCGTCAGAGAAGGATGACGGAGACCGGAAGAACTTATGCAGCCTTGACTGCTTGGACTCGGCTGATGAAGCCGATCCAA